ACGAGAAAGAAAGATAGAAAAGTATTCTTTTAAGTTGTGTCTATCCCAAATAAGCAGAATTAAGGGGAATAATTATATGTTCCATTGTTTTCTGCATATATTTGGTCTCTCTGTTCCGATATCTGCTTCTGCTGGTAAGTCATATATTAATCTTCGAGATAGATCCAGACTATTCGTAGTAGGAACATATATGTCGAGCTCAGACTATATATGAATATATAGAATTTAATGAAAATTTATACGAGTGTTTCATAGTCTGTGTCTATTATAGGAGTGTCTTTGGCAGAGGCGGATCCACTGAACCTATTGCACTTCTGAATTACGAGTTCGAAGTTTAATAATTTTAGATAATTTATGTCGAAAATACTGGTTCATTTAACAATTAGGAAACATGCTACGTATTACTCTGGCATTTGAGTTTTGAATCACTTCTGTTTTGGAGTATTTTCTTGTTTATTAGAGCAAAAAGTTTTTATTTCCTTTAACATGTTCTGCTTTGACGTTGAAATTCCTTTCCAGTTTTGAAGAATAATTACGATGTCACTAATCAGCGAGTCAATGACGATGAAAGCGGCAGAGACACAAACAGTTAAAGTAGCAAAACTTACAGCGCAAATCGAGGTGGATTTTGCGAAATGCGACTGTTGCGGATTGACAGAGGAATGCACTCTTTCCTATATAGAAACAATCCGGCAGCGGTACCAAGGGAAGTGGATTTGCGGATTGTGTGCGGAAGCAATCAAGGATGAGATCATGCGATGCGAGAGGCTGATCAGTGCGGAAGAAGCGTTGAATCGTCACCTCAACTTTTGTAAGAAGTTCAGTTCATCTACTCCGCCTTTGAATCCAACTGTTCACTTAATTGCTGCGATGAGGCAGATCTTAAGGAGGAGTTTGGAGTCTCCGAAATTGCTAAGGTCGATGTCCAGTAGTCCAGCGGAAAACAGTAGTGAGATGAAGCACGCGGTGTTACCTCGATCAGGAAGTTGTATTCCTACAATTTCTTTGGTTGATTCGAGTTCGTTTCATGCTATGGGATTGGATGGAGGTTGTGAATGACGAGTGGGAATTGAGGTGAAAATGGGAAACTGAACGTTTGTTTTCAACTCCAGGCCATGGGAAACACTTACCAATTAGCGCTTAATTTTGCTCCCAAGTGAAAACACAACAGAACAGTTTGTTGTTTTATTACGGAATGGCATAGTACTTGCTCTAAATTTGTTGTTGGTTGTGCGTTCAATTGTAACCTTTATTCACCCAGCAGATGTTACTACAATTTTGATTGATTAGCTCTTAGTTTATCTTGTAAATATGCATATGCGAAAGCCATCTTTTAGCTGAAAAGCTGTAATATTCCCTCTCTTGGAATTTGTGTACCTCTGCAATTTTGTAGTAGAAAACTTGGTTCTACTAGAACACTTTGATTGGTGAATTATGTGATGAGGATTAGTTTCGGGGAGCCAGGGAACTGTGAATTGTGGTTTAGTCAGAAACTTTGAGCAGAGAAGCAGTCATTGTCTGTGCATGGCTAGGATCCAAGATTTGAAGGTGGCGAGGTCGCGGGGCACATGGGCTAACTACTTAAGGGTTCCACATAAATTTATTGATCGTTTTTAACATATANCCGTTTCTGATGGCTAGCCTGAAGGAAAAAATAAGATGATATAGACATTTGCGAGTATGAAATAGTGAATTGTGCTCATCTTGCTCTGGCCTAAATTATTTTTTTCTTTTTGAAGGGTATACATAGTCTAGTTTCTCCCAAGTCCTGGTATGTTGCCTCTCTCGTCATTGGGCGTTGTCACTGATGTCTTGTTATCTCAGGACACAGCAATTGGTGAGCGAGGAGGTTCGGAGAAGTGGGTGACACTTTCTTTTTCTGGAAGTGGGTGACTAAGATAGCTTTATAGGTGTCTGAATTCTGATGGTAAGTACAAAAGTAGGGCTAGGACACTGTTGTTTGTCATGCTTACATTTTCTGGGACCAAAGCTGACCATTTTTGTGCTACAGGCCTCAGATAAGGACATTCTGCCCTTATTTCTGGGAAACAAGCATTGGTCAATGAGGATATAGTACATAAAACAAGTTACCTACACATCACCTAAATCTGCTTTTAGGCCCATCCTCTTTTATTCTGTTAGGATGGTCACCAAACTTCAATAATTTTCTTCTACTTATTGTCACCACACATGATCAACCAACTAAATCATGTTCNNGGAAGTTGTAACAAAGAATCCTCATTATTTCAGATAATCAATGTCCGTCATATTAGCCTGTAACGACACACAGTTTATGGCTTCATTTGGTTGATTATGCGACAGACGATCCAGTCTGGTCCTGGCTCCGTTACTCCAGAAGACCGGGATAATAGTAATACTATAGTATACTTAAAACAAACACTACACCTCAATCACAAGTTCATTGAAATTGATTTAATGGATTTTAAATATTCATTTTGATTCTTTTCATTCCAAATGACTAACATTCTAAAACTAGTGCATTGCTGTTCTTATGCAGAGTTTCAAACAGAACTCTCCTTTTAGGCAATATGATATGCTAGAATTAGCAGCAGTACAAACGGTGAACACTGCACTATCAGACTTAAAAAACTCATTCTAATAACAATGTTTAAATGCTTCCATCGTTCAGTTAGGAAGCACTGTATGATGACATAAAAGGAGAAGAAAAACTATGAAATCTGGTTTCCATGTGCATTTCTTGAGTGAGAACCCGTGTTGTGAAGAGCGTGAAGCGAGAAAAAGCGACATGCCACTTTTCGCTTAAAGCGAGAAGCGAAGCGCTCGCTTTTTTGAAGTGAAGCGGAATTTTAAAAAAATAATATTAAAATAAGAAAGAACAACTGAAACGAAAAAATAAGAACAACTAAGAAGAAGGCCATTAAAAGAACAACTACATAACACATAAGAAAGGCAATAAGAACTAAGAATAAAGGAGATGAAAATAAGAAGAAGGGCAATATAAGTATAACTGAAAGGAAAAAATTTGGCAGCATTTCAAACGAAAAAACAGTGCAAGAAAATGAAGAAGAAGAGGAGGAGAAGAATGAGAAAGAAGAACTGAAGGGAAAAAAAAAATTCGCCAGCATTTTGCTGCTATTTGGACGCTGAAATAGTGAAAGAAAAAGAAAAAGAAAAAGAAGAAGAAGAAGAACAAGGAGGAGGAAGAAGAAATCACGTACCTGGACCAAACTTGGACCAAACTTGATGATCTTGAAGTTGAAAAGTGTAGAAAACTTGAACCCTAGTTCGCCTCTTTCTTTCTCTGTTGCTGCTGATCGATGATGTTTTAAAAAAAGAACAGCTTTTTTAATTAAATAGGTTGGCAGCCCTGTAATACAGAGAAGCGCTTGCTTCTTACACATCGCTACGCATCTGCGCTTCTCGCTTTTTAATGGGAAGCGAGCGCTTTTTTAAACCTGCTACGCTTCAGCTAACAAAAGCGTTCGATGGCTCGCCTCGCTTCACTTCTCGCTTTAAGCGAGGAAGCACTCGCTTTTCACAACACTGGTGAGAACAACAGGATTTGAGGTCTTCGTTCTAAAGGGTATCCCTTGAGGAGTACTTGTTTTCTTATCCAATGTGCTACAACAACAACAAATAAAACAACAAATCCAGTATAATCCCACAAGTGGTGTTTGGGCAGGGTAATGTTTACGCAGGCTTTATCCCTGCCTTATGAAGATAGAGAGGTTATTTCCGGTAGACCCTCGACTCAAGGAACAGTGAAACTAAAGCAACAAACAGCTGCAACAACAAGGTAACAGGGTCACAGAAGCGAATGACACAATATGTACTAATAATGATCTAGGAATAAGAAAATACAACAATAGAACTAGTATTACTGGTAAGCCTAGGAGAGACTCAGGACAATCTGTCAACCTTCAACCCTAATACTCGTCGTCCACACCTTCCTATCGAGGGTCATGTCCTCGATAAGCTGAAGCAGTGACATGTCCTACCCCAATCCTTCCTCAGACCCGCCATGGTCAACCTCTCACACCTCCTAACCGGGGCAGCTATGTCTCGCCTCTTCACATGCCCCAACTATCTCAGCCTCGATTCCCGCAACTTGTCCTCCACATGGGCCACTCCCACCATGTCCCTGATAACTTCGTTCATAATTTTGTACTTTCTGATATATCCACACATTCATTTCAATATCCTCATTTCAGCTACTTTTATCTTTTGGACATGGGACTTCTTGATAGGCCAACACTCAGCCCCGTACAACATAGTCGGGCTAACCACCACTCTGTAGAACTTGTCATTAAGTCTCGGTGGCACATCTTTATCACACAAAACCCCAATGTGCTATATAATTGAAAGTGAAAGAAGGAACTTCAGAAGGTTTAGTAAGAATCCAAGTTTAGCAAATACTGAACCAAAGCTGAGATTACCAAATGAATGACAAACAGGTTGGTAAGTTAGCTAATCAACATCTAATCTTGTACAGCTCCAAATGATTTAGTTTAGATGTCATCATTACCATAAAAACTCAATTGATTTTAAAACTGTTGTACAAGGTATTATTTCGACATTATGTTATTAGCATGTTAGTTCGGATATTACATACTTGAACCTCCATTTCCTTCAGCATCTTCCCCATTTCAAAGGGAAACAAGACGACCGAGTTGCTGAAGTTTTGCTCGGAGTGCATCTCCTATTTGCCTCACAATCTAACCTCTTTTTGCTGCAGAAACCAGACATTTAATAAACAATCATTATGTAAGAGAAAAATAGGCTTGAATTTATAAAATTGTAGGATGCTGAATGGAACTTATACCAGTTTCTGCTCTATCACAAAAATAGCAAATTATACAAGAAATACAGGCATCTGACTTTAGCAACTGATGATAACACAAAGAGAACATCAAGATGGAAACAATGACAGGTTTTTTAAAATAAGCGATTAGCAAACCTTAAACCATGTCTTTACTGCTGCAGAGCAAGCTGCATGCTTTCCTTGTATTAATCTTAGGCAGAAGGCTCAACAACTTCAGCTATTGTTTGAATCAACAAAACAAGCTTAAATTTAATACTTTTCATAGTATCACATATTGAATCAGAACAATCACTCCGACAGTGAATAGTTGAACAACTTAATATCAGTGTATGGATATTCCAAGGTTATCGCCCGAAGCACAACCAAAACATTGATGTACCACACACCAGTCAAGATTCGAAAAAATCCTCAAACAAAATCTAAAACGTTCAGATGAAATAACTACGCCTCAATACCTGCATTACTAATCCATGTATTATTCATCTCTGTGTTACAATCGGTCAATCCCTGCATAACTTGTTTCTAAACCAAACAAACCCCTACGAATGTTCTAGGATAATTTGCTTAAAAGGAAAGAAAGGAAGGAAAACAAATAAGAAAATAAAAAGAATATCATTGCAAACAAATGTTCAACAGGAATTCTCCTATCATCGACAAGTACACAATCTGCTCCTAGCACATCATGAAAAACACATCATTAGCTAGACGCAACTACACAAAAGGAACAATGGAATATTTAAAGAAGATCTACTGAACTGAACTACAAATGTTGCATCTTGGTGGATCTTCAATTATCTCCAATATATCTGTATTTGTAAGAAAGTAGTTTCTCAACTTCGATAGCTCCACACATGTAAAGTTTTGCAATTTAACTTTCTTTAACTCGTGCCTCCAATATTTCCAAGGTAGAGATTCACAACAAGGTTCCTCATCAGCTGCATCTCTGTATGTAAACTACAAAACCAGCAAAACCAATCACAATTAAATATGCAAGACACGAATAAAGGTATTAAATGTCAGCATGAACAATCAATCATGAAGCCAATATAGGACTGCTAGGTAAGCAAAAGATTTGTAACCAAGTATGAAGGCTTTGCTACTAAAATAAAGTATCAAAAAGGAAAACCAAAAAAGGAACTAATTGTAAGAAAACCATGTATAAAGAGTAAAGGTGCAAGAAACCTTAGTGATCACTAATCTTTTTGAACATATAACAAAGTTAGTGCCTTTGAAAGATAAACATATTACCTTCAGGATCTTTATGTCTAGAGCCCTGCCAAAAGATAGGGTGTCCAATTGAGGAGAAATCCAAAGCAAACTATCAACAAGATCCACAACTGAATGATTCCATCGGTTCATAATTACGTACAAATGCTTAGTACAATAAAGTGGAGGAATCAAGTTTTCTCTCTTGTATTTTGGTATAACTATCACCTGCACAAGCAAAAAGAAGAATAATGAGAAATCCAGAAATGCTTCTTCAAGCAGGAGCAAGTAGACAATTTGTTTCACGTACCTTGTCATTTTCGCAGCGAAATGTAATAGCCTTGGAATGATTAAAGTTAGCTAGAGACTTCATGAACTTATTGTACCAGTAAGTGTCAAGGGTTATTTCCGGGATCAAATTGAGATTAGCTTCCAGCATATGTGAAGCTTTCAGTTTGAATGTGGGCAAGGGTTCAACAATATCTTTTCCATAACGAACCTCAGATGAGAATCTTAATAAGTTGGGAGTATCTAGATCAACCTCAATCAGATTGTCGCACGCGACTATGTCCAGATACTTAAGCCCGTTACTTGAGATCTTCACGATCTTCAACGACCAGCAACGAGATAAGTAAAAGATTTCAAGGTTGGGTAGATTTGGTAAAAGGTTCTCTAACCATTGGTCAGTCATAGCCACATCTATGAGCTGCAAACATTGTAGGGTTTTGCAAGCAGTTATTTTAATTAATACACTTAGGTCCCCTCTATCGGAAATAGCCTCTCTGTCCTCTCAGGATAGGGGTAAGCCTGCGTACATCCTACCCTCCCCATACCCCACTTGTAGGAATCCTCTGTGGGAGCTAATGTAAAGGTCTTTAAGATTAGGTGCTACAATATCAACCATCTAGAATTGAGAAGGGAAATCTTCCAAATATACCGACCGTAGTTTAGGTAAAGTTCCTACAACTTGAAAACTGATTAATCCATGAAATCTCTTGAAAGACAAAACTTCTAAATCTCTGCAACTTGCGCATAGAGCTTGAAGTAATTGCTCGTCCAAAAACAGGTCAACAAGGTGCAACTCTCGCAAAGATGAAAACTTTATGCCATTTGAGGGTAATTCAAGCTTAAATCCAGATAAACGAAGCACATTTAGAGCTTTGGCCCCACTTGTGATTAATACACTTATGTCCCCTCTATCGGAAACAGCATTTCTGCCCTCCCAGGATAGGGGTAACCCAGCGTACATACTAACTTTCTCAGACCCCACTTGTGGGAATTCTCCGCAGGAGCTAATGTAAAGGTCTTTAAGACTATGTGCTACAATATCAACCATCTGGAATTGAGAAGGGAAATCTTCCAAATATACGGACCGTAGTTTAGGTAAAGTTCCTACAACTTGAAAACTGATTAATCCATAAAATCTCTTGAATGACACAACTTCTAAATCTCTGCAACTTGCACATAGAGCTTGAAGTAATTGCTCGTCCAAAAACAGGTCAAAAAGGTGCAACTCTCGCAAAGATGAAAACTTTATGCCATTTGAGGGTAATTCAAGCTTAAATCCAGATAAACGAAGTACATTTAGAGCTTTGGCAGCAAAAATTGCTTCAGGCAACTTGATGTAAGTGAATATGCCAACCTCTAAAAACAACTCTTTGACATTACAAGCTATCAGTATATTAATCCAATCATTCACATAATCAGAGGTTAACGAAGAATATGATAACTTAACAATGAACCTTTGTATAGAGATATTCTGCCTTTGACGATTTGCTAGAATTTGATCCACACTGTTTATTGGCATCCTTAAATAATCATCACCAAAATTTAAGCAGGAGAGGGAATTCCAAGCACTGTTCCAAGCCTTACACAATATACTAGTTTTGGCAGCATCTATAATAGTAAGAAAAGACAGAATGTGCTCCAAAATTGGCACTGGCAGTTCAGGAATTTGAGCTGTCCTTTCCATCGTTGCCAAAATATTTTCTATAACCTTTAACAGTGCCTGCGAGAGGATAAAAATATAGAAATAGGAATATATATTATATGAGTGACACGCGCAGTCTAAACCAATTAGTGAAAGGATTTACACAGTGTAAGGAAATGGAGCCTTCTCTTCAAAAACCAAGTTGTTAGCGGATTTAGGAAGTGAAAAAACCAAACCCCACAAAAAAGAAAAGGGAAAAGGCAAGAGGAACAAAAACAAATATAAACAGGTTAGAACTGGTTTTACACTAGGCCCATTCAAAGTTTTCACCGCCTGTCTAATCAGTTTAGCCATGTCGCCAAAATGATAGTTTCTCCCTCCATTCAATTTATGTGAACTTGTTTGACTAACCACGGTGTTTAAAAAAAAATAAAACTTTTAGAATTTATGGTCTTAAATAAGTCAAAAAGGAGTCCAGAGTATTTGGATGGCTATAAAAGCTTCTCATTAAGGGTATAATTAGAAGTTTAAGCTAAATTATTTTCAAATTTAGAAAAGGGGTCATTCTTTTTGGAACGGACCAAAAAAGAAATAGGTTCAAATAAACTGGAACAGAGAGAGTATCATTTATCAATACAAAATAGAACCAAATTACTGATTTTTTTATATAGAAAAGGGCCAAAAGTGCCCCTGAAGTATCGAAATTGGTATAAAAATGCCCCCGTCCATTTATTTGAATAAAAATACATATAGCGTTATTTTTTTGGCGCAACATTACCCTTATTACTAACAGAAAATTCTAGAAATTTTTTTTAATTAATATCCACGTGTCACCGTTTCATTGACCTAACTTAAACTTTAATCAAAATATAATTAAACTCACCCATAACCCATCTGAATATTGACCCGCTCCTTTAAAATCCAACTCTCTCTAGTAAAAAAATTGCCGGCTATTATTAGTACATCATATGAATCCAGTGTGTATGAAATTGCACAATACTCGTTACACAGAGCAGAAAAGCTACATATTAATAGGAGAAATAGCAAAATAAATTAAAAATAAAAATACACATTGCATAAACAGTAAAAAATTGGGGAAAACAAATCATCAGATTTTCACAGAGGAATGACAAAAAGTAGTGAAGAAAACCCCAGAAATTTCAAATAAAAATAATTATACAATAAAGAATACTCATTACATAAACAAAAAGAATCCAAACTTTTTGCATTAAGAAGAATATGACAATTCCTTCCATATTCCATAAAAATTATTCTAAAAGAGAACTCAATTTTGAATTTGCCTCATATATAATCGTAGACATACACTCGTCAAAAAATGCTCACTAAAACGAAATGGATAGGAGGCAGAGGGGTGTGTGTGAGAGAGAGAGAAAGAGAAAGAGAAAGAGAAAGAAAGACTTATATTTTAAAATTGGGGTGGGTCAATATCTGAACGGGTTACGAATGAGTTTAATAATAATTTGGCTTAAGGTTTACATTAGGCCAATGGGAATGAGACAATGACACGTGCATATTAATTAATTAATTTTTTTTTAGAATTTTCTGTTAGTAATAAAGGTAATATTGAGCCAAAAAAAAATGGTAGAGGCATTTTTATTTAGATAGTGGACGGAGGACATTTTTGTACCAATTCCAATACTTCAGGAGCAGTTCTGGTCCTTTTTTATATTCTACTTGCACCTTGAATTGGTTTGGATTGATTCGGTTTTGTGGGTCTTTTCGGGTTTTTTGTTACATGAATATTATTTTATTTTTACTTTATTAAAGTTATAGATAAAGTTTTGATAAGTGAATATATGTTTAGCAAAAATTGGAAAAACTGACAAACATATGATCTATTAAAATATTCTTAGCACAAAATCTTTTTAGTAATGCATGATTGTTATTTTCTTAGTCGTCTAATAACAATTTCTCGTTGATTTACGCTTTCAAGGTTAACCAATATAATAATTAAACATAAAAATCAATATGAAACCTAAATAATGATATGTTCTATTAAATTTTAAAATTATCATAATACCATTTCAAATTCGAAAAAGAAATATAAGATTTAATAGATCTTGACATATGAATATGAAAAAACAAAGAGATTGACGCATTTCAATAACACTTGATAAGAAAGTAATGATACAACCTATTATTTAAAGTAAATAAAAATGGATGCACTTCATAGTTCTATTAAATATTACATTCCATGAGAGGATCCCACATATTTCTAGATATTTTTAAAAATAATTCTATATAAAGTCTTAAAAGTATATATTAAATTTTATATATTTATATGTCGGTTTGGTTCGGTTTTTTTTATTCAATACTAAACCAAGTCAAACCAAACCTAATCGGGTTTTTAATCGATTTGATTTGACTTTTCGGTTTGGTGCGATTTTCCGGATCGTTTTGAACACCCCGAAAAAAACAAATTTTTGAAGATATTTATTTTCCGGTAAAAAAAGAAAGTATATGCTCAAATTTGTTGGTGAGAAAGGAGAGAGAAGCACTAAGAGGAAATTGTAAAATGGTAATAATAGATTATGTATAGGCTATAGTCCATGGGTACTATAAGATACAGATGACTACTTCTAACTTACTGATGAATGATTATTACTATGGAGTATAGTTGTTTACCCTCAAAATTGGATAACAATTAAATTTGTAAGTAGTTTTAAGGATACACGGATTAATTTAATACAAAACGATAAATTGGGTTAGAATGAACAAACAGAAATACAGTAAATTCAAACCACGCAAGGAGGATAATTCCAGCTTTATTGAAATATTCACCCTCGATCCGGGCTCACGGTAGGCAATATTGATGAATGAAAGAAAAAGCTTGAAATAACAGTGAAAATAATAGTATCTTGCCTTGGAATGCGTTACAATGTATTTAATGAATTATCAGACCCCCTTTATATAGTAGGGGAATCCTACTATAAGTACAACACTATAAAAGGTAAAAACAATCTTTTGTTTAACTGATTGCTAGTTTTATATCTATACGTGCCGAGATCCACGCCATGATATCCGGTCGGTCACGGATATTACAGCCTTCTGTTGGTCGTGCTTGATTGCCCGACAATGTTCTCCGAAGTCTCTCAGTATTTGGATCGATCTCGAATAATGACCTCCATATTCTCGAAGGCAGACAATCGGCCCCCGCACTCTGACTCGATGAGACCCTTGCTTCGATTCCGATCCTTCGCAATCATATCTCGAGCTCGTTTTACCCTGTTGGAGGCCGGAGTGTATCATGAGCTCAGTTTTTACCCGTATACAGATAGTCCCCTCGTTTCTCAAAAAGCAAACTGACGAGAAACGACATGAGCATCCCGATTCCTTCTTTAATACACCATGACATAAACGACAAAAAGCCCAAAACGTCTCGTCAGTCATGTCATAATAGCATTAAATGTGCGTCAGCCGCCTGTCGGCTGTCCCTGGAGGCGAAATGTCGCGGAACCACTATAAATAACCCCTTTTTTGTTCATTTTTTACTTTACATCAAACCGTCTACCCTCGCACCCTCAGGATTTCACTACTCTTTTTTTCACATTCTAGCATATTTACCTCCGTTATTCGAGATTCCTTTGAAATTTTTACTCATCATCCACTCAAGCCAACACATCTGAGCTTCCAGCTTTCAACATTTTTCTATCTCCTTCAAACTTTCTCTTATAACAATGGCAAATACCTCTAAATATGTTCCCCAAAATGTTGCTTCTACCTCCCAAACGACTGCAAGAACCAATAAAACCACTTCCGATGCGGTCGACCTCAGGAGATTCGCTGCTAACGTGGTCATTGATGAACTAGCTCCTGAACCTCCCTTAAAGATGTTCATTGTTCGATTGCTGATGATTTCAAGGTCGACAAAACCTCCTCGGTGCAGGGTCGGTGTGAGGAGGCATCGGGATATATTTTCTCGATCACCAAAGACGATCTCCCCTTAGTCCAAAAGGACTGTAACTGGGCCGATAAAGACATAGTGGTCCCCAACTCTGAGGAGGCCATTACTATACACGTTGAGGGATACCTATGTGTCTACACTTATCCCTTCACGTTGGTCCTGATGGATCCGGTCATCATAGACTTCTGCTAGAGTTACGAGGTATGTCTCGGCCAAATTCACCCTTCACTGTGGAGGATCGTGATCCTCCTCCGATTTTTTGTGAATAAAATCGATTCGTGCACCTTCACCATCGATCATCTGCTCCGTTTATACAGTCCTTGAATCTTCCGGGGGGGACAGATAAAGCTTGTTCGTCGTGCCAGCAAAGCTCCATTTTCGAGTATCGACGAGGACCGGGACCGAGGCTGGAAAGGTCATTTTGTCTGGGTGAGGACCTCAGATTTGATCCCGGCCGAATTCAGGCCATTCCCCGAGAAGTGGAATGCATCACGTAAGTAAAACTTTCTCTCGAATGTTGATTTCGTGTTCATCTCTCTTTTTCTCATTGGTATTCGTGGTGGTGCAACTGTCGCCCGAGTTCCAAATGTTGTCCCTCGACTCAAGGAGTGTGTCGAAGGTATTGTCTCACAGATTCCCTACTTCGAGCGCTCGCGGTGCAAACTCTCGAAGGGCCGTTGGGAGTCCTGTTGGGAGTCTCGTTTCCATGGTAATACTCATTTCCTGAGTAGGTTGAGTTAGGCTTCTTCTCTTAGCATTACATTCTTATTATTTTTTCTTTACTTCTCTTTTGCAGGTTTGCCTAAGACCGTCGATCTTAGTCCCTCGGTTAGGGACGAGGACTTACCTGCCGATTCTTCTGCTTTGGGACAGCCTGGAGCCAGAACAGGGGAGAAGAAAAGAAAAAGGCCCCCGAGTTCACCGAGCTCGGAGAAAAAGAAAACGAGAAGGAGGCTGGTTCGTAAGCCAAAGGAAACCTCCAGCTCCCGAGTGCTTGACTCGGAATTACTCCTCCGGCTCAGAGACGAGCCCGAGGAGGATGAAATCTTTATGGCCCATGAGCCATCTGTCCCTGAGAAACGGGTGGCAGCCGAGGGGGAAATGACAGAAGCGAATCCCATCAAGTTCGCGAGGCTGTTGCCGAAGTAAGAGTCAAAGACTCGCGAGACGCCGACCCTTCCCCGCCTGACATTATAGATATTTCGGGGTCGCTTTTGTTCACAGAATAAATGTTTGATGCAGCTTGAATGACGGAGGAGTGATCCCATGAAGGGGTCCATGGAGTGGATGATCCCCTCCG